TTTTTTTTTTTTTGTCATCAGGCTTTTTGGCACTTCCATAAATGATTGAGAAGAAATTAAAAATTAGATGGGAAAATCTAGACCGCGGTGAATATCGATTTCAGCCAATCAAATTCGTGAATTCGGTAGTTCCCAGTCCTTGTGAGACACAACCATATAATAAAATGGAATATTAACTAACTTTGATTTAAAACTATCTACGGACGTCTTCAAGGTCAAATAAGTTAGGACGTTATTGATCTACCAAAGATATAAACGTCTAGCATTGTAAATTTCTGCACATACCTTAATAGATTAAGACAGCGCAAGCAGTCGTTACGGGAGGCTTTAATCGTAATAAATCTTTATGTTAACTGCAGGAGGAGTGGTAAATGTGAATGGTAGAAAACTTTGTCCACGTATCATTCTCATGACCGACGGAAAGCCTACAGATGAAAACGGTCGTGAAACACCTCAAGTAAGAACATTTCTTATAATGCAGGTAAAATAGACTAACATTGACCGAGGAGCGAAATCAAGTTAAAATTGAAAATTGTGCCCTGATTTCCCTGAAATCTCACAGATACTCAAGTCATATCACGAAAGCTGAAGCTTGATCTGTTTGTCATTCAGGCTTTGACTGAAGTTCTGGTCACTGCAGTGCTGTTCGGGCCTCGCTATCAGGAAGTGGGCCTTCCATACAAAATCCCCATAGCTTGTGTTGGGTGTGGGAATGCAGATAAGGTAATGTCTGTAACGCACTTCATCAATTGTACGTGTTTTAATATTGTGTTGTGGTCTTCGTTCAAATTCTCCGACATAACTTGACACAACTCCAGAAGTTTAACAGACTGTTTATTAAATTCGATTTCACAAAGACCCACTCGTCGCTCTTTAACTCACTCCAATGCAATTCGCTACGATACAAATTAAACATAGGCGGTTAATATAACGCTGTAAAGGGAAATCTGGCGATACAAAGTTTTTCGCCGACACTTACACATTTGTGGATCCTCCTCGGTAATTTATACTTCTTTCGTAATCTTCTCGATATTATAACAACCTCGATACAACTCCACTCGGCTACAATCCATCAAATTTCAAATTGTTCGTTCAGTTTCCCGCTAAGCCGCCCCACAAAGAAGTATGGGTATCTGGCAAGACCCAGGTCTCTAGACTAGGGCCCAGGCCTAGCAAATAATTCTAACAATTTGCGTCCTTCACGGTTAGGATTGCCAATAGCTGTTGTAATCGAGCTTGTTAGCCAGATGCTTTAGGCCCGGTTCATACGTCGCATTTCTGCCATCTGTTAAGAATTCAATTAAACGAAATAAATTCGATGGAAATGCGACGTCTGAATCGGCTGCCGCATTTCTGCCGCACGTTCACTGGTCTTGTCTCATTATCTGACAGAAATGCGACACAAACGAATTTCTGCCGTATCGAATCTAATACATACATTATGTTAATGTATGAGCATTCGTAAATTTGGTTCCTCCAATGAAAAAGAAGAAACCTGGCCATTCTCGCCCCAAGGCAACCTGAACATATTGCAACAAATACTGCTGCATTGTCAGCTATCCCCTTCTTGTTCCATTGGAGGACAATTTTTCGCATTTTCCGCTGACAGACATACCCGCCAGTATTAATTCTGAATTAAGTGCGATGCAAGTGCGACGTATAAATCGACAGTAGCATTTCTGCCGCACTTAAATAATTGGAGTGAATTCAACACGGAGGGAGTGCGACGTATGAACCAGGAACGAAGCTATGGAAAGGGTAAATGATTTATTAATTCTTGCTGCTGAAAACTAATTACCGACGATGTACTACTGGGAATTTGATGAGGCTGCGACCAGGTTCAAATCTTTTGCATGTTGTATTGAAACCTAAANTTTTTCATTTGACATGAAAGAGGCTTCTAGAGAGTATTGCACAAACAACTGGAGGGATGTACGCGATGGTTCATAACATGGATGGACTTAGCACATTCTTCAAGAGACAGGTGTTGCTGTCACGGTTCATTGCTCAGTTTGCGCATGGTGAGTCAATAAGGCGGAAGTGTAGCAGCCCTTGTAGGCATGTAACTCTATTCGTCATCAAAGCGTAGCAGCTGTTATTGTTTTGGGGCCAGGAGTATTGTTGTTGTTGGTGTTGTTGTTGCTGTTGTTTTTAGTTATTTTTCTATCAAAGGGTATCTAAAGCTGCTACCTGGCGGCCCTGACACAAATAAGGTCCTACTTGAAAGGGTATTTGGTTATAATCCTAAGTACATGTTGGGATACTAATCGTTAAAATGCCCGCACCAGTCCCGTACTAAAAGCCGTACGTAGTTATAAACTCTATAAAATATAATAAAAACTCTTTAACTCATAATACAAACTCTAGAAATAGCTACGGAAACACGGCTCGCCTGAGGTTGCTAGGTCCCATATAACTTCTCGTTCTCCTAAACTTCTAAGGATGTTTCTATAATTCGATAAAAACACGGAAAATGTTTAATAAACTGATATCAAGTCTTGTGGAGACAGTTGATAAAACACAAAATGAAACTTGGTCGTTAGGGAGGTTAAATTGATCTATGTGAGCTGTGAACTGTTGTTGGGATTGATTTGGTGCCATGAGCACATTAAACTGGTGGGTTCTTAAGAGGACATCCTCTCTTTCTCCAGGGAAGCATCTAGCTCATCACATGGTTCACTCTAAGCTGCCCAAATGGGTCGCTGACATCCAATTTTACGGACGATTTTTAGGCGGGGATGCACCCATGTAATTTATATCACCCTGGTCTTACAAGATCAGCATGGAAGGCGTAATATAAGCAATGTGCTGGATAGACACTCTAGATAATTATTGTGGATATTGCTTTTTTTTTCTCCAACAGACATGGCTAAGCTTCATTCATTGCTTGTATTACAGCAGTTTATGCGAAGCCTCGGCGAAGACATGGAAGAAGCTGAGCTGGTAAGATCGACTAACCAAGGCGAATCAAAACAAACGAGCGAACGAACGAACAAAACAAATTAAACAAAACAAATCAACTAACGCCATCCAGAATTTAGTGATGAACATCTATTATAGAGTAAATCTTTATTATTTCATGGTATTCTTTTATTCAAATGGGCAAAAATTTGCCGAAGCGGTTTTCTACGTTTTTCAACGACTTTGGGTTGTCACACCTTACACGTTTTCTTCTGTCTTGTTAACGCTTTAGAGACCGAGGTTATATGATAACATTAATGAAAACGAGAATAATGTTATAAAACTAGACCGACGTAAAATGATGGCCATTTAAACAATGCAACCCTTAACTTTGTAATCTAAAAGTCAGTTGTATAAGACAAGTTATACACATCGTTTCTTTGCACAAAACCCTCGAGTTAAACAGAAAGGATGACTGAGATCGATTCGAAGCCGTGAAAGTATTACCCGTTGTTTTTTATTTGTTATTTTGTATTTCTTAGCGTCCTCTCATGGCGCTGCTCTTGGCGATGTTAGTTGCGGAGGATGACAAAGATGAAGATCAACATGGAGTGAGTCTAACTGCTTTGAGTAACTCATATAAATATTGTGATATCTTTGTACGTATAAATAGTTAACAATTATTTTACGAGCGCGCGCGTTGGCTGTAATCATCTCGTATCCAGCATGTGCGTTTTTAATAACTGTTTTATCGAAAAAGTCCCCAAAATATTGGAAACTAAAAAAAAATATAAAAACGTTCCCCCCAAATATGCGTACGTTTACCGTATTTGTAGAGTATGTTACTCATAAACCATGACGGCTAAGCCAATGAAAACCATAGAATTTCATTATCCAATGATCCAGTTTTTACTTAAGGCTATTTGAAGTTTGAGTCTGGTGTAGTACCGCTGTACGTGTACTGAAATCTTACGAATCCGCCAATATAAGGCGAGCTGTTCAGACGAGCTGAGATACAACAGAAGCGGAAATCTGTATGCCGTGTTGGACGAATATCGGCCTGAGTTCTTGACTGTATGTCCATACAGAAAAGACTAAGGCCGATATTCTTCCAGTTAGACCCCGGGCAAGTTTTGTTGGTAGGGGTTTCTTACGCGACTTACAATATTTAACGAGATTTAACCATCACGGAGAGAAATTCTGTTTGAGAAATTTATTTTGAGAAGTGACTAACTGACTCGGCTTACGAAAAGTGTTTCAATAATAAAAATCAAAAAAGGATGGAAAAGACAGTTGGAAGAGGAAGAAAACGGAACTTTTGCGTTTACATCTATTAAATCTCTCAGAAACATCCTAAGTTAAAAAAAAAATGCGACAAAACCTCTAAGTCGTGCGGGATCATTTGGGACAGTGCCCGTTCCAGCAAATGGGAAACATTGGATCGGGAATAGAGCAAACCGATTGGTTGATTTTAGTTATTGACCCTCTGAAGTATATTTGTCGTAATACGAAGGCTATAAGGTTTATTTCCAGGCTATAAGGTTTTTGACACTTTAATAAAGTTCTCACTCACTCACTCACATACGAAATATAGTTATGAAAGTGAAGAATGATCATCGCAGTATATTTTCCAATTTAAGCAATTGGAAAGAAGAAGCCTGAAAAAAAAAAAAATCAGGGCTTCAACNTCGAACCCGTAACCTCCGCGATACCGGTGCGATGCTCTACCAACTGAGCTATGAAGCCACACATTGGGAGCGAGGCCACTTAATTGAGTTCATATCTTCATTGGATATCCGAGTGTTTTAGTGTAGTTTAATTTTTTTTGATTTTTGTTTTTGTTTTTGTTTGTTTGTTCTATTTTTCCCGTGGGTACTTTAAGGAGGATTAAAACGACTACACTTAACCTGTTAAACTGGTTTCGGATAGCCCAAATGATTTGATCTTTATTTTGTTATATTGATCTCCATCAGAACTACCCCAAACCTCCTCCGGTGGGGTCACGTGTTCGGAGGGGAGATGACTGGAAATATGGAAACCAAGATGGAGGAACCGCTGGCACCATCACAAAAACAGATGGTACACCAGGTTAGTTCCATCACCGGCAATGCTGGCTGTATTTACATTGATTATTTTTCTGGGTCAAGCCACGTAAAAATGAACCTCTGATTGTATTTTCGACAAGGGAGGATGAAGGACAATAAGGTCATTACCTTGTATAAGCCTTGACTTCAGAGATCCCTGAAGAGGCTCGAAATAGTCGATCCTGTGACAAGAATGTTACCTAGGTGCAGTTCACCAATGTATTTTTAACCTACACCGATACGTCTATGTAGCGTGCGCTCGGGGGTGGGGAGTGCTTTAACATTTGTTTTTCTTTGTGGAGGCGCCGCCTCGAGGTCCAACTCTTGACCCTTTTGTTTACCATTTTGGCAAAGAAGGTAACCCTTTCGTATACTTTTACTTGAAAAATCGCCCAAAAAGGAAATCTTGACATTTTCACGTAGTGCCAGGAGCCCATGGCGCCTGGTAGTGCTTAATAAATTAAATGATCCAGCCATAACAACAACAACAACAACAGCAATATTTATTACTTATATTGCGCTTTTTCTATAAAAATAGTCGAAAGGCATTACAATTAAATAAATTCTTACAAATTACAAATTGAGAATTAAAACTACCACAACGCATCTTTAAAACGATCATAAGGTGATCTGTTCCAAATATTTTGATTAAAGGCCCTTTCAATTAAATAATTAATTTCTCTACCCTTACATATACCTCAGCCTTTTATAAACCCTATGCTTTTATACACCTGAAGCCTGAAAAAAGTATCCCTTTCGGGTGTAGCCTCCCCGCATAGGCCATCACAGGGAATAGCCCCGGGGAACGTGCGTGGTATCCCAGGGAGAACTGGCTACAGTATCTAAAACTAACTTGAAAGGGATTACCGTTAGAATAAGGCCTATATTAGGGAGAAATTCTCTTTCTCTTCATCCTTTCTTGATCTGGAACAATTTCAGGTTGGGTGGATGTTCAGTGGGATAACGGAGCTAAAAACTCCTACCGCTATGGAAAAGATTCTGCTCTTGATGTTAAGGTAAGACAAAACATAGTCACACTCAGTAGGAATAAAAGGCCCACTACGGAGGCAAAAACAGCGCATGTCGTAAAACCCTCGAGTTTGAAAACTTGACGTTTCGTATGCTTCCACGCACATTTTCAGAAAAGTGAAAGTCTCGCACATAATCAGGAACATGGGACAGATAATTCGCATACAGATTTCCGCTTTTGCGAACAATAACAAACTGACCAAGGTGGTAAAGAAAACACTGCTCACTGTCAACGTTCTCGTTCAGTGGCCGAAGAATAAGCGGGGTGTTTGCGTAAAACAATTACACGCATATTTGTTGTGGCGAGCAGATCAATATTTGTCGACCCTGCGGCAAATAATTTGTCTGCAAGACTCTGACGTACAAGTAACGATATCCTGCGATAACGGAGATCAGTAATTGTTTTATCCTTCAATCACAAAATTTGTTTTTATATTATCACTATCTGAGAGCACAGGGAAGCAATCTGCCGTTTTTCACACAAAAGCGTGGGTACAATTGCGCATGAGCAGAATGTTATTTGTAGCAGAAAACATTTAGACGCTATTGCCCATGAACAAACCATTTTGCATTGGTAGTTATTTGCAGGTCACGTGTTGGGCTGTCAGCCAATGACAGGAAGGAAAAATGCATCGAATGATAATAACGCTTTCGCGTGCAATAACGCTGTCAAATTGTAGGTTGTTGATGAAAACAGACTCGTGTTTCGTCGAGAAGGAGTTCAAGTGGGATGTCGTGTTATCAGAGGTTAGACTTCTCACAACTTATAATTTTCTAAACTAACTAGAAATTCTTGGAATGGCATCGGACTAAAATGTATGGGAATCGGGAACTTAAAGCAAAAAAGAGAGTCTGGAAGGGACATGTTGAGTTACTTTTTTTTGGCAAGTTTTATCTGCCAAGTTTAAATATCAACTCTGAAACGCTGCCAAATTCGCCCAATGCGTGTGGACTGAAGCCGTATCCGAAAAGAAAAAGTTGCGGATTCAAAAATATAGGGATACGTGTGGACGGGGCCTCAATTTCTATTTCGAATTTAACGCGGCTTTCTATATTCAGTTTCGAGGCAAAGAGAAAGAAACAAAATGACTAAAAAGTATCGCGAGATTCAGGATAAAATATAAATACATTTTTAATTGACGTTCTTCTCGGCGTCGCCGTCGTGGTTACTCTAAAAGGGAGCTTAAGAAAGCCACGACGGTAACGGCAACGAGAACGTCACCAAACAAAAATTTTAATGAGCCGAACAATGGCTGTGCACATGCGCTCCAAATCGTTGTAGATTTTGTAGCCGTTATCTGCAAAACAACACCGTGAAATGACCAAGTTCTGTGTTTTGGAGAACTTTAACCGTGATGGCTAATTCCTCGTTTTTTTTCTTTTCGAATTGATAGCTGGCATTTCATTTTTAGTTTGAGAAGGTTTCAAGACCGGTAGGCGCGCTGAGCAGATTTAGCTAAATGCGAAATTCGATTTTTTTTTTTTTTTTTTAGATTTTTCTAACCAATTTTACCTCTATTTTTGTTTCGTTTTGTTTTGTTTGATTGTTTGTTTTTGAATTTGGGCATCTAAATGTTTTTGTTTCTGTTAAAACGAAGAAAATACCATATCATTTGAAAAGGATTTTTAATATACTAAACTTATAAACATGTTGACTGGATATGCTGAGTAGATATACAATGCTTATATTGAGCAGCTTTCCGCCAATAACAACTCTACCAGTATCTATTTTAATTTGTGTTTAACGAATTTCAGGACCGGACTGGAAATGGGGAAATCAGGACGGTGGAGCGGGTAAGATTGGCCGCGTATTCATGGCTGAGAGTGGACTTGTTAAGGTAATTACAGTTGTTGGCAATTTTGAAAACATCTTATCTCCTCATCATTATTTTAAGACAGAGAATTCAGTTTTGTTTTGTTTTGTTTTTTTGTTTTTGCTTTAGTTTGTTTTGTTTTTGTCTTGATTTTTTTGCGTAATCAACTCCCATCGAGTTGCTTTGAACTTCATTCTATTCATAGGTTCGCTGGCCTAATGGCGACACAAATACCTACCGCAACGGTATACAAGGAGCAAATGATGTGGTCGTTTATTCTGAGGTGAGTAAAAAAATCGTTTAATACGTGTTTGCGCGTTAGTTTGTTTCCACACCGGGAGTTTTTCTGATTGATCCTTCACAGAGAGTATTTGCAATAGCGCCGGGGGCGGAGCAGTTAGATAAAATTTGCCAAGTTTAGTTAAAGAGCCAAGTGGACCATCTCCGGTTTCTAAAGCACGAGGGGACTATGAGTGTTTCTACTCCTCCCTGGATTTGATTAGCTAATCGATCGCAGTGTTACCCTACAGTGTTACTCTCGACGGTACCCATTTTTACATTAGATTAGAGAGAGGCACTATGAGAGTAAGGTGTCTTTCTCAACAACACAGCATAATCTTCCCGACCAGGGTTCGAACCCAGACCGCTCGATCCAGTGTCGAGGGAACTAACCATGAGGCCACTGCCACGCCTCCCTCTGAGTAGTATGAATGAAAATAAGGGATGAATGGAATAACTAGTTTTTCTTCGTCATCTTTTACCCGACACATACATAATGTTGAATTCAGAGTGCCTTGTTTTAACATAAACACTGATCTTTGGTTTTCACACCATTGTTTTTCGTCCAAGGACATACGATGGTCCTGCCACGTGATGTGAGGCCAAACAGAAACGTCAAATGATACTGAGCCTGCGACACAATCATGGTGTTACTTAAGTCATTCATTTAACATTTCGTATATCTTATGACCCGTTGTTACTTCAAGGTAGCATTTAGCAGTTAGGAATTTTTAATAGATTTGTTTCAACTGAAGTTGCAAGCTGAAGTTGGAGGCTGATAAAATTACTTTTGCTTGGATGCAAAAAATGCAAGAAGGGGGTAGGCCCTTATTGATCGGCACGATCCTTAAACTGTATTATATTCAGGAGCCATAATCGGGGACGGAGACCGTAAGCGCGCATTATTTCTAGTATTGGGGTTGTCCCCATGATATGGGACAATAATTCTATTTTTAGAACAAATGACGCCATCGCCTGCGGCACACGCGCGTACATGCTGCGAGGATTTTTGCGGATGTCGCGAGGGGGAAATGGCGTCCGAAATTCCCGAAATTTTTTCATGTTTTTGGCCCACAACTCAACGCGTTTACGTCTGTCGGGATTTTTCTTAAGTATTTTCGTCGTAAGCTGCTCCAGTTTGAGTCAAGTAAGACAGTGTCGAATTTAGGTATGTTCCGCTTTAAGCTTATATATATCGCTGACCAAGTTGTGTTCCGACGGATGCTT